AGGATTTAGGTAAGCAGGATGTAATGGTCCACCTGGAAAGAGGCCGAGTCGCCAGGGTCCAGAAACCTCCACTCCTCCTCCTGGGCGCTTCGCCGCACAGCCCTGTTACATCCTAAAATACCACCGCGGGATCCCAGAGTGTTTTGCCCCCCTTAGACTATCACCATTGCACATTTTCCCAGTCTTCTGACCAAAAGATCATTTCCCTGGATGTTCTTACAACACAGAGGTGTACAGCATTAAGGGTAATACATAAGTGAGTTCCAGACCAGCCTGAGCATGACTGAGACCCCTTCTCTACCAAAGACAGAAAAATTAGGCTGGCATGGTGGAGGGTGCCTGTAGTTCCAGCTACTCCAGAGGCTGAGGCAAGAGGATCGCTTGAGCCCAGGAGCTTGAGGTTGATGAGAGCTATGACAACACAGCACGCTATGTAGGGTGAGAGTGAGACTCTGTCTCAAAAAAAAAAAGTTATATATATTTAACACCTGGGATAGAATGTGTTGATTTAGTCACCATAAGCACTTCAATAACACAAGTTTATTGACAGCACTTGCTGAATAATGAGCACTGCACTAGATGATGGGATAAGGCAGTGAAGAGAGCCCTGCCTCCCTGTGGATCAAAGTGAATGAATGAATAGATGCATATATGGTGTGTCAATAGTGGGAGGTGCTTAAGAATAAAAGCCAAGTAGGATAAGGAGTGAGAACATGCTGGAGGGGAGAGGAGGGGATGTCATGGTAAGGTGACCTTCCAGAGGAGACGGGAGATACCACCTCCCCCTGCCAGAAGGGACATTATAAAAATGTCAAAAAAACCAAGTAGATGCTGGTGTGGGTGCAGAGAGAAAGGAACGATTATACACAGTTGCTGGGACTGCAAACTAGTACAGCCCCTCTGGAAAACAGCATGAAGCGTCCTCAGGGAAATCACTGTAGACTGCCCATTCCCCCTAGCAATCCCAGTACTAGATAGCTACCCTGATGGGAAAAACGGTTTTATCAAAAGACACCTGCACTAGAATAATAGCACAATTCACAACTGCAACAATGTAGAATCAACCTAAGTGCCCGGTGTGTGTGTGTACCCTAAAAAAGAATGAAGTGATGTCTTTTGCAGCAAATTGTATGGAATTGGAGACCATGATGCTAAGTGAAGCACCTCAGGTACGAAAAAGCAAACCCCACGTATGCTCTGTAGAGCTGATCGATAGGCACACAGGGGCACAGAGAGATGTGAGGTCACAGGAAATCAAAAAGTGGGGAGGGCAGAGGCAGGGAGGGGCAAAACCTACCTCCTGGGGACACTAAAAGCCCAATTATGCATTATAAAAGGTACTATTTAACAAAATCATTTGTGCCCACTTAATATTTTAAAGTAAAAAAATTCCCCTCCATGTAGTGGGGGGAAAGGTATTTTAGAATTGAGCTCAATCTTCTAACGAGATAGAATGGCAAGGCAAGCTTATTCATTCTTCAAGCAGAGCAGACAGCTGAAGAAAATACAAGCTACAAGCTGAGATGCAAAGAAGTCTCTTATAATACTGTCTTCTTTTACTAAAAAAAGCACAATCAGGTTTTCAGAGTCACACGCACGAGAAAATATCATGCATTTATCTGAAACTTCAACTCTGAGAAACTCAAAGATTTCAAATGAAATTTTATTGACTTTTAAAATAACCACTTGAAATAAGAAGGAAAAAACATCGGAGACCTTCTTTGAGAAGTAGAGGATGAAGGGAGATAGAATAGCTCCATCAAAGCCAGGGAAGCTTCCTTCAGCTGAAACCTGGTCCTCCATGTAAACGACAGTAAGGTGAAAGTTGGCCCCAGCGTCTGGATTAAATGTTCAGTTGAGTGAATTCTTCAGAATGATCAGATCATCAGTGTACCCAGGAATCAAGAATAGACTTGAATCTGATAAGATAAATACTCCCGAGCAAGTTTTATCCTTGGTCAGACCAGACTCATCCGGGGTCCAGAAAACAAGCAAAACCCTGACCTCTGGGGGAATGCTAAACTCCGGCCATAGGTTTTGTACACTTTGGCTCTCACATTGCATGCCCGCTGAGTTACTGTGCTTGTTTCCAAACCTGTGTATGTCACTTGTAATAAGAATCACATAAACTAGTGAAATACTGTTGTGGTAAGAAAGAGCAGTGTTTTTTCTCTAGCTGAATATTCAGGGAAGATTTCTTTAAAGGCAAATGTCTAAAAAAAGTTTTTTCTCAAATTCTGTGTGGACAAGGTAACAAAAGGGTTAGGGAAAGAGACGTCATCTAAATGTAAGATTTTAATTCACAGTTGCACTCTGCTCCCTATGTGTTCTTTAAGTTTCAGCTTGTCTTTAAAGAAACCAGACTGGGTATCTCCCCATCAGCAGTGAGGCACAGGCAAAAAATACAGCAACCCCAAACCAACAGACCCACACCTCAAGGCTTCAGTTCTAACCTTCAAAGACTGGCTAGCAATTGAACAACACTTACTGTATGTTTCAAGTTCAAGTGTGTAAGGTATATATATATTAATTTTAAAAATGATTACTTGCTGTGATGTTTGTGATAAACTGACCAGAATACATTCTCACTACATGGGCTAAGAGATCTGTCAGTGTGTTTCGTGGCCCCCTGACTGTAGGCTCCTCAGCGGCACGCACCTTTGAGAGGTACCACTGACTGACTCACAAACACCATTTCAGGTGTACTGGGACGTCTCTGCATTCCTTATGACCCAATTTAATTGATGACTTCTGCCATTGTTTTGACCTGATGTAATTACACCTGCATGTATTTTATACACATCCTCTCACTTTGATGTCTGGTGTGTTGTTAGGGAGACTAAAAGATAAAATACATAGTTCTGAGTGATGGGGAAGTGCTGTCAATGCTGGAGATGCTAAATACCAAGATCTGGATTAAGATCATTACTTTAAATTTGCAACCAGAAAGTGGGCAAGATTATCCACACACTTGTATTTATTCAATCCCTCTTCTCGTGTCAGCCAACCAAAGAGACATGTTCTAATAATTACAGACTTCCCAGTAGGGACAACGAGATTTATATTAATGTATTATATTAGTAATGTAATATAAAATTTTAAGTGACAGTTGCCAGAAACTGGAACACTTAGTTTCTTTTCTTTCTTTCTTTTTTTTTTTTTTTTTTTAGAGACAGAGTCTCACTATGTCACCCTGGGTAGAGTGCTGTGGTATCACAGCTCACAGCAACCTCAAATTCTTGGGCTTGACTGATTCTCTTGCCCCAGCCTCCCAATTAGCTGGGACTTACAGGTGCTGACATAACACCCGGCTATTTTTTGGTTG